TGCCCACTTTGAGAGAAAGTAGATCCATTATCCAAATAGGGTTGTTAAAAAATAATGCTTTCATGTGGTCGCTTTTATGTTGGAGAGACTAAGGGTGAATGAGCACAAAAGTGCCGGCAGATGTTGTCGGTTTGAAATATCGGAGTTGGTTGAGCACAATGATGAAACTGGACGCGAGATTGAATGGTCTCAAAACTTTTGGTTATGCTGACTATGGCATATTTGCAACTAAAAGAAAGATTAGAGAAGCCACCGAAATAAACCAAATAGAGAATACATTAAGTGTAAGAAATACCGGCAAGAAGATAAGTAAAAATTACTTGTGCTTAATTAATGGACCCAATGAAAGAGGTGTTGAGTCGCTTGCAAATAGGAGACAAGTCAACTAGTCTTTTCTTATGAGATTTATTCACCCAATTTCGTTTAAGGTGATAAAGGACTAGTAGAAGAATTTTCCCACAATGATATGAGTAGAGCTGACTTTTCCATTAAATTTCACATATTCTTGCTTTCCCAAAAGTTGTTCTCATCCAGGGTGGACTACAGTTTCAACCTCGCATCGGTCTTATCAATACCCCCAGCGGGAGTCGAACCGTGAAAGTGCAGAATGGGAGCTTGACACGCTAACCACTCGGCCACATTGTCACATTGATATGATATGACAAAAAGCCTGGCCTTACTTGAAATTCACATTTTCCCTGTGACCCAAGGGCATTCATGGCAATGTGGCCGATCACTTTAGGGAAAGATCGGAAGTAGGAATATAATCATTGTATAAGAACTGTTGCAGTCCCGAAAACCTAGCTACTAACGACCTCGAAATTTGATTTTTACAAGCAAAATATGAACCGATTGGAACATAATCTCACGCGGCAGATGGTTTATCCGAAATTGCTTGTGGAACCGAAGCTAGGTGTACGGATGCAAATGGCCCGGAGACAGATGACGTTGGAACCGATACGCATGGCGAGGAAGTAACTGAATTAGGAGACGAATGACTGTTAGGCTTTATAGCAATGGTCACTTCACGTGCTTGTATCTCGAATTGTTGCAGACGTCGCTGCAATTCTGCCTGGCAAATAGCCACAAGACGCGCAGTTACTTGCCCAGCAGCTAAATTGCGCACCAATTCCCGATCGGCGTCAGCAGCACCGGTGCCGCCTCTCGCATTTGCTAAGTAGACAGCACCACAAAGTTGACGCCCAGCATCTCGGACGGATGGACAGGCACTTTTTAGTCCAGCGGAGATAATAGGAGTAAAGAGGTCAGCTCGAAAAGTCCTGTGTTGTTAAAAACGAGTAAATATATAAGATAAGTACGAATTTTATCTCTAATGCTAAATAACTAAAA